TGATGAGCAAACATGAGGCAGTAACTATACCATTTATTTGTCCACAAAAGTTGACGTGTCTATTTAGCTAAATACTTCCACAACCTCAGCAGAGAAACCACGAATCCTAAACTTCAGTCATATTCGAAACAAAACAGTTTTTCCACACACTCACCGTATTATATGAGTTTTACACTTATTGATGGAAACCAACTGCTCATGGTTTACATAGGTGGGTAATGCCTCTCTCCGAGATATGGCGGAGAGACAGGCATGATAACAGCGCACTAATCCTGCGGTTCATCCATGGATTTTCGGGATTTGCCCAAAATAGCTTGAGAGTTTTCCGCTGTTTCCTGGATTTTTTATGATGGTCTATGTACAAAACTGGGTATACCCGATTTCTTGTAGAGCATGTGGGGACGAATAACTTGGCAAAACAGATGGGCCACTGTATCCCTATAAAAGCATATTTAGATGGGAAATTTAAAGTCAAACAATCCACCCCAATGTGTATGCATAGAACACAGAGACATAACGGACAATAAGATTTCGAAACTGAATTCACAATTCTAGCACAGGAATCTAAAACATCGTCAACCAAAACTCTCGCGGTACTTTGGATAATTTCCAGAAATCGAAAGATGAGGGAAAGAGAGGAATGCCTCGTTAATACGCGTCACCTCATGCGATATCTGAGACTCGTTTTCTGACGTGAAAAAGGCACATAGCCCATTCATGTGAACTGTGCGGTTGGTGTCCATCAATGAGTGGAAGGCGTCTAGATCCCGGTGTCTGCCTAAATAAGCTGTTTCGTAAGCGGTTTTCTCAAGTTGTTTGTTCTAAGGAGATTCTCGAAGTGTTTGGCTGGATAGATTGCGCATCAGCTTGACCTTTCTAGGCTGTGAAGCTGGCGAAATTCTCCGGTACATTATTTATCGTGAAATAAGTGATATAATCTCCCAAAAGTTTGTCGCCTCATCGTGGCTACGAGGCGATCCTATGTGATGCGCTGCGATTTTCAGCGAGGGTTTCATTGCGCAACAGGGCCTCCCAAGCTAAGGAGTCCTCCGTTAACACCAGGAAGCCCAGCTAAGAGTAAACCAATACCAGGATTCACCACCGTCCTGGTAACAAACTAGTCGCATGGTGGCAAATCTCCCTCTGATCCACAAGTGCGGCGACTACCTGTGGTGGTGACGGTATAGGGCAGACTTTGGTGAGGCTGACCTCGGCACTCTAGGAAAACACCGTGGGTAAACCAGCAAAACTCTGAAAAAAGGAGATTGTGCTGGGACCCACACAACCAATGAGGACGAGCCGTTCAAGGATCAAGTAAGTTGGTAAGTGGTATAATAATAAGTTTGCGTCTGCTCATAGGAAAAGCTGTAAAATATTGATAAATGCTGACGTTAACAGAAGTTCGGTTATACGATTTTCTCAAAGGATATTACCGTTTTCTTTGGCTGACATGAAATCCTCCAGTGAATACCAAGTACTCGGCAGCTTGACCTCAACACCATGTGTTTCAACAGGTAGACGCTGCCCGGTAATATCCGAATGGGTAAAACAATACCAGCCAGGTGATCTGCAAAACGGCCTTCCAACATCCTCCTTCATTCCATTAAATATTATCGTAGACATTTTAAAACAACTCTATCCTAATAAGTTAGAAACAAAACCATCCAAGTACTTCAGTATTTTAATATTAAAAGGAACAGGATACACCAAAATTTAAGGAAACGGCCAAAAGCAGGTGTATTGAATATGAGTAACCACAAGCAACGGGAATCATATTCGCAAGTGGTACATCACTTTTTTTCTCTTCTGAGCTAGGAAATTACGACTTTGGCTGCAACAATTGTAAAATCAGCACTTATCAGGTACTGGATGGTGGGTGAACTCCAAAAAAAGCAAACAATACGAAGATGAGAAGAAGTGGGACTTCGAAAACCCGACCAGTAGCTCAGCACTCGAGTTCAACCTGGACAAAACTGTATTCGAAGAATGACGAAGTTCCCTAATCAAATAATGAAAAACCTTATGAAAGGGATGCACGATCCATTCTCATCGAGTAGTATGCATTGAACAACACTGCTACTACTGAGCACATTGCACACAGCTCTCCTGAAAAAAAGACTGAAAACCAAATGCAGTAAAGCCACTCAGAATCAGATCAAAGCATGATTTAGCAAGTTGAAACTGGGTTTCCAATAACGAAATCTTCTAACATCACATGTTTGTTATGACTAATCGAGTACCTAAGCCTGTAGTCTAGTCCAAAACCCACAGACTTCTTTCCACTGACCGTAAAAAAGTACGATAACTTGGTTACGATGTATTTTATTGCCTATTGTTTATTTTGCCGTACACCGTTTCTCGCATCACCTTGGCCTCAATCTCTAGCTTATCTAATCCAACTGTGATTTCAGATGTAGATCATGAGAAGCTATTCTGTACACAACAATTCACACCTCCCAACGGTTTGCGCCTAACCGTGGCTGGGAGGTGCCCCTGGATGTCGGGCTGCGATGTACAGTGGAGAGATTCATCTCTACGGTAGGGTCTCCCAAGCTGAGAAGAAGTCCGCCGTTTCCATCAGAAAGCCCAGCTAAGAGTAAACCAATACAAGGATCCGTTACCGTTCTGGTAGCAAAATAGTCGCATGGCGGCGAATCTCCCTCTGATCCACAGAGGCCAGCGACTGCCTGTGGTGGTGAAAACCTGGAGCAGACTTTTGGCAGGTTGACATCGGGACTCAGGGAACCACAATGGCTAAACCAGCAAAACTCCGAAAAGACGGAAATTATGCTGGGGCCCGCACAAGTAGCGAGGATGGGGCATCCAAGTATTCAGGTAGGTAATTATTTAGAACAACTTGTGTTTCGCACCATATTCTTCGTCCTGCAACAATGCACCGGCAGTAAGGTATTCTGGCGAAGGCACACACGGTGAGAACTCCTAGTCTGCTCCTATACGGTGTATATTTGGGAATATTACAGGTTCCTTTTCGTGCTCAAATATGGAAGGAAATACAAAGTGCCCAGTTGCAGTCAACATCTGATGTGAATTCGACTAACGAAGGATGGTGCCACTCTGTTTGATCGAGTGATAAGTGAGTGTTCTAAAACAAGCCCGACCATTAGAAACGGTCCAAAGAAAAATCCACGAAAACTGACGAAGAAATACATGGAAGATATGAGTTACGAAGTGAAAAATCCAAGAGGATGAAGTGGATAATGCAGGACATTTGCGTTGAAACCAACACACATCGCGCACGGAATAAATTAACATTAATCAGAGGCAATTCCAGGGGCGTTACACAAAATTAGGCGACGTGGCAAGCGAGCTAAGCCCGTTTACACTGCTAATATGATTACTCATGAGTTTTTAATTATCTTATAGAGCGCGACAAAGTGGTCCCACTATTTGCTATACAAAGCTGTAAAAGGATAAGGAAAAAATTCTCGGCGTTGATCAATCTCTGAGGGTCGCGCCATGCATTCGACCTTAAGTATCGTCGGTGGTGATTGAATGCATATATGGCCTTTACAATAACTCGCGGTGGCCTATTGATGTATTGAGCCGGGCTGCCATCCTCCCAGACAAGTCTGGTACCAATCTGCCGATCCCGGAGAGATGGAAGGCTTGGGACATGGGCGCGGGAATCGATCCCATGTGTATTGCAGTGCGCCTTCGACCATTACGCAATACGTGCCCATATAAAGCTGTGGAAGCCAAAAATATTCACCCTCCTAAATTTAGGGTGGTTAACTAATTCGTTATCTCGTAAGTGTAAACCATACGAAGCTTCCATGAAAACGTCTCTTCAAATCCAGTTTAAGAGATTGTCTTTGTGCCTACTATTCTACTAACACAGCAACATGCAATCAAGCAATATGAGTATTGATTTAATTATTCAGCGTCTACTTTTAAACCATTACGTCTACTAACAGCTGCTGAAGCACTCCATTGTTGCAATAACTCTTGCTACAATTTCAGGACTCCTAACTTCGCCGACTGTCTAATCCTGTACCTTCTTAATTCAGAATGCTTGTGAGCTGAACCTTTGTAAATACGTGGTTCCGGCTAATTGAGAATAGTCGTGCATGTAAATTTGGTCATCTAAACCATTTCAGTACATATTTGTCAGCATTTTGAACAAACCAAGAAAATGTTGTATGAAGCCCTTCCAACTATCCAGAACATTGCTGCGAAAGCCCGAAAGCCAGCTTGTACTGCGCAACTTATAGTCAAGCCTACTACCACAAATAATTTTTATTGACATTGCCATACTATATTTGAGCCTATAAAATAAAAAAAGGATAGAATCGCTAACTATACGTACATTTGGTTATCTTTCGAAATGTTAGCAGCGTTGAAAGAAACACAGATAGTATCTTCAAAACCTGCACACCAGTTTTGCTTCAATGAAACATAGGACGGTGCGCATGAAACTTTTGGAGTCACTCCAAAGACCTGAAGAATCTTCTGAACCACATATCCTTGAGCACAGCCAGCAGCAAATAGAATGTTACCTTTCGCACCAATTGGTGTTCATTTCCAACGCTTTCAAGATTTGAGAACACACTTTTTAAAATCATCTCCTTTGCGTTCACACGCTCTTCAAGAATTTCAATTTCTGACTTCAACTTTCCAACGACACTTTTCATCTAAATGGAAGCAGTATCGAGAGTGGCTTCTGAAACTTAGTTGGCCTTATATACTTGTATTATGCATAAGAATATTGCATTTTGGACATGACCGACAACACAGTTAACAGATTTTCATGTTTCGTATATTATCCTGATAGTTTAAACCAATGTGAAATTAGACCAATTGATTGCACCATGCACAAAATTAGCAGTTTTTGAGTTCCAACAAAGTAAAGAATAGAGATCTTTTTACAGCGAAACATCTAACGCTCCTGAAATCAAATTGTTTATCTATGTAATAATGATTATTACCAAAGAACCGAAGAGATAACGATTCACGTGAAATTTGTATAACTGTAGATTTCTTCAGACAGTAATCGAGTCTTGACCATCCAGCAGTACGGTTGTGCTGTATGCAACATCCCAATAATGAGCAACGTTGTGCTTTTCCAAAAGATCGCGTGCCTTAAAGAAAGATATAGGCACTTGAGTGGATAATAATAACGAGATCCTTCAAAAATGAAGAAAGTTTCACCAAAATTGTGGAATACTAAGTGATTAAAGACAATCACCTGTTTTTCTATTGTAGCCGTGACCACGTTGAAATCGCGGAAGTTACGCCGCTTAACCTGTCCTTCCCAAATCTGAAGGAGAGGAATTGTGTGCCTAACTGCTGAGTTTTTTAGTTTTCTCCATACGACTTTCTTTACGTGTAAACATCATCTCAACGGATAAAGCGGATGAAAAAAAGAAAAAAAAATGGAAAGAACAAGAAATGTGAAGAAGCTACAGTGAAATTTCCAATTTACGGAAAAGTCAGACACAAATTTACCAGTTGACAATTATTTCGTTCGCCTGGTGCATCTTTATCAGCGTCCTTCTTTTGTCCTATTACTTCATCTTCCCATTTTATCCTACTTAACATAAGATTTTTGTAGAACTTCTGCTGTTTTGGACCTACAACAAAGAGTGAATGAACGGTGAAAAGTTTCCAGAGATATTTTAATGCATGTCTTGAAAAATAAACGCAAAAGAAAGAACTCACCTCCTTCTACTACCACGAGGTTTATGTTTTTATGCAACAATATTACGCCTGTCATTTGGAGCTGCTTTGCATTCATCTCTACTTTGAACTTCTTTGCTGGATGAAGCAAAGACTTTACTCTGGAAAAGTTCATGAGAAGTAATATAATGGGCATTTTAGTCAACGCACCTATACGGCAAAAATAATGAAGGCTAAGGAATGGAAGGCGTGGTATACTCAAAGAGTCGGCGTCAAAACTATTCAAAAACTTGAAAACTTGACATTTTTGTTGCTGTTATTATGGAAAACTCATCACATCCCACTCTTTCACTTTTCTCCAAAAAGGGTCAGTTAGACCAACATGATGTTTACCTAGGGGCGCAGGTATCCCAGTGGTGGTGGCGCCTTTGAATAAACGAAACGATTGGTCCGACCGCTCTCCGAGCCAAACAGGCTCCTATCTCATCGGAGTAAGAGATGTGACATTAGATTCGTCTGGTATCATCTTGTTTCCACCAATCCACAAAAGAAAGGTACAAGTGATGGCGATCTTCACTCGACAAGCACTTAACGATATTCGTAGCGAAGATAAGAAATCGCTAAGCAATAGCCCTACACAATAGTCCACTTAGAAATCCGAAGGATTTCGCAGAATATGGATAAGAAGAAATGAATCAAATGTGAAAAATGCTGGGATCCCCAAAATACGTTATGTGGGGTCGTTTAAAATAAAAACGAAAGGGAAGTGCCAAACGTGAACGTTGCTTAGTGAATATCACATTTGTTTAGGTAGCAATCCATGGTTAGCACGGGGAAAAAGTCAAGCAAACAAACGAGTTTTTAATTCATACACGATGTTAATATACGATGCCGTCTATAAGTGAAATTTAAACGCAATTCATAAAGTATACAGAAAAATTCTGACCTGTATACAGAAACATGCACTGCAAGAGACGTATCTTCGGCAATTTTCTTTGTTTTCTTCGCGGCTTTCTGTTCATCGGTAAGCTTCCGTTCCGCATTAGCCTTATTACAGTGTGATTAAAGAATGCTATGAAATTCATTCAACTTGCTGCTTTGCTTATGTTTCCATGTAACATTACTATGTCAGCGAATCAATTTAGATATCCTGCAGAGCAAAAATACCTGTTGATGACGCTTCAAACGATCTGCCATTTGCTTCCTAACGTGCGCTTCCATTTTAGTTGGATCTTGCACTGCGTCATTTCCCAGCACACGCATTAAATTCGAAATTTTCACCTAAAAAAACACGTAAGACGTGCAAATAAAAGCTGTTGGCATTAATCAATCCCTGGAGGATGCGCCATACATTCGACTTCATTAGCATCGTTGTAGGTAATTCAATGCACATACAACTAGCCTTTAGAATGAATCGTGGTGGCCTGCCGATGTATCGAAGCAGTGCTGCTATCCTTCCAGACAAGTCTGGTACCAATTTCCCGACGCCGGAAGGATGGAGGGCTTGGTGGGCTTAGGGATTGATCCTATGTGTGTACTACAGGACGCCTCCGAACACTGCGCTACACTCGCCCCCTTGTGCTACATGTACTTATCCATCTAATTTTGTAAGTGTTATAAGGCTTTCACTATGGTCAAAATATACAAGCAAAATTGTGGAAGACTCATGCTGTGGAAGGCCTACCTTAGGAGCAGGTGCTTTCGCAAGACCGATACGAATCATTTCAGTGCGTTCCTTTTGCATCTCTTTGCGATTTTGACGTCTGATTTTCTTACGTTCACGAGATGTTAGATAGACCTTAAACAGTAATAACCACAATTACTATGCAAATAGTTTATAGGCAACAAATACCTTAAGATACTGCGGAGCAAGAGGATCGGTGGGTGCTCGCAATTTTATTGGATGCTCTACAAGTTCACTGATCGTGTCTTTGAACCGTGATTCCACATTAACTCCAGGAATGTCATCATAGCTTAAAAAGACGCACATGAGAATGAGGTAGCTAGAAGCTCCGTGGAAACAATTAGAAAACAGACCATTAAAACTGACCTATCACATTCCAGTACGATGGAGTCCCACCACTCGATAATTGGTACTTCATCCGAGCTTTTCCCTGCTGGTGTAATCATTGCTAACTTAACTGCGGACGAAATACCTGTGCTCTTGGCAGCTTGAGAAATTTCAGCCTAAGAGACCACTCGACTTCAACTTAGTGTAACCTAAACAATGCAAAATGACAAACTCAACCTGTAGTTTTTCCAGTTTCGCCACAGCCCTCTGTCTATTTGCAAGTTGTTCAAATTCGCCCTTTTCGTGAAAATTAAAGATTTTCCGTTTCCTTTCGGCAGGCCGTGCAGTTATGCGAGGATCCATAAACTCTAGCAACTCCTCTTCCTAAAATGCCTTTACTACTCAGCGATGAACTTTATACCTCCATTAAATAAATGTAGTTGCTTACAGGCTCTTCCTCACGTTCTTTTAATATTCCTGGAGCAATTTCAGGCAATGGCGCCATGACTGGAGCATTTGGACGAACCAAGGAATTGATAGTTGAAGTAGCTTTAGCGAGCTTGGCCTATAACACGAAATACATGACCAACAACCCAAACAGTGTGAAAAAACAGGATTACCTTCAGTTCTTCAACTCTACTTTTTTTATTCATAGAAGCTTGTATGAACATTTGTGCCTCTTGTGGACGAAGCGCAACATTTTTGGCCGTCGATGATGGTTGTGTGGCAGTTCCGATTAGATTTGCTGAGTTTGCAGCCAAACCCAACTGACGCTTTCGTTCTTCTATTTCCTGCTGCGCTTTATACATCAGTTCTTTCGCTCTAAATTTTTAACTAAAATTAAGGCCCAAAAACTACTGTGTAATAGGCATTATTAGGACATTTTGATTCTAGTAAGCAATAACTTTGATGGAGCGTGTGTAGCATAGTGATCAGAGGGGCTCTGTATTGCAAAGAGGGTCGCTGGTTCGATCCATCGCCCTGGGAAACCAAACCCTCTATCCATCTGAGGTGGATAAATTAGTAACGAACCTGCCGAGGAGTATAAAACCCCTAACTTGATATGTATGTATGGTGTATCCCTAAGAGATTGCTCATCGCTGAACGCCCTATATTCCACGTATCACATGGGATTATAAAATCGCTCCGAAATACAAGCATTTGCAATTTAAGTAAAGTCAAACCTTAGTGTTTCCTCGGTGACTATGACATTTTTCTTCGCTTCCTCCTCTTCCAACTTCTTTTGGTACAGTTCTTTCGCCAAATTTTTCAATTTTTCTTTTTCTTTTTCCTAAAAGCAGACAGTCACTTCTCACCCACCACACTTCTGAATCGTAAGCAGTGGCAGTGACACGGAGTCGCTAATTATAACCTTTTCAAGCTCCTTCTTGGTTGCTTCCTCTTCTCGTCGTCTTCGTTCCCTGTCCCTGCCATTAGATCTATCTTTATCTTTCGATCTACTCCTGTCATGAGATCGATCCCTGGTATTTCGGTCCTTCTTGCTTCTCTTCGCATCATCCTTGTTTTCCTCGAACTAAACATTCATTTCGTCGTTTGTACAGAACAACAAACCTGTCTACTTACCTAATCAATGCCTTAGAAACTTCTAAATTCTGACAAGTACAGTAGTGCTAACCAGGACAGGATTTACCTTTGTTCTCTTGCGAAACTGTGGGTAAGCAATGCAAATGGCGGAGATCACCTTGTGAGCTCGATGGGAGTCGGTGATAGCTTCCAGCACACGGTCCTAAATAAAAGAAATCTGTAAGACTTTGTAATTTATGCAGGTAAACAATGCCACAATGTGATTTTCAGAATACCTTCATCTTGTCGTAGTCATATCCCTTTTTCAGACATCTCTCAACCGCTTCCGTCACTTTCTGTTGTTCTTCTCTCCGACTGAGATAACGGTCACATATTTCCTCCAACTCCCCGTGACCCATAATATCTGAAGGTGGAAAAAAAATGCGCAACTACGCTAGAAAAACGTATGAACAAAGAATGTGTTCTGTTTTATGGACGGTAATGGCCAAGAAAACAATTATACACTACTGAAACAAATGCCAGTTACAAAAGCTTCTTCGGGGAGAAAAGCTAATGCGTATTGTCGAACGAACCACAATGGTAGGACGCTGTCTATTCTGTGGAAAACCCGCACAGGCTGGCTGAATCCCTTCCTATGAAGGCTGCGCAAGAGATACTTTTCAACAACTATTAAAAACATTGAACAAACTGGAAAATATGTGGCGACAATCCATGGAATAGAACTAGCCAGACGGAAATCATAATGGAGACATAGTGTGCTCCGATCTACGCGAAGCGAAGGCCTTTGTCACACAACGGAGCACGTTCTAGCTTCGGAGTGCCCTAAGCTTCCGGGATAGCTCTTCTCCTTGGAGAACTTTGCTACGTGTCTTGCCTCTTGTTTGTTCTTTTTCTCCATAAAACAAAATCTTTTCAGTTCTACAAAGTCGTTTGCATATATCGTCAGGTTTCTCAGAAACTAATGTCCGGTTTTTGGTTTCACTTCCCACAAGTTTTTTAGCAACAGTTTTTTTTCAAATGCTGTACTATCATATGTCGTGGGGTGGTTCACTTTATGCACTTTTGCTCCGTACGATTGAATTATGGTGTGAATTGTGTTTTCCCAAGTTTCTAGGGTCAGAATTCCAGACTTCGAAGCGGGAGTTTCGACATATCTAGTCCTGCGTTTTCAGACTCGAAACAGTGAAAAAAGTATTGCGCCAAGAAAATGTTCAAGAACGCACAGTGTAGCATTGTTTTAGAAAGCTTCATTTTGGCGAATTCGACCCCGAAGATGGTGGAGGTGGCGGACGTGCTTCTGCTACTGACGACGAAGAAGTTAAGCTTCGGTGACGGGGAAGAACTCTACATAGGAGTCTCAACTGTTTCGGAGCATCTAGGAATGATTAGAAAGTCGGAGGAGCTCGACAAACGGATGCTGCAGGAATTGAATGAAGTTCGAAGAAATCGCTTTTTCGAGGGCATCGTCTGCGCTTCTGCGCAACGAAAACAACCAGTTTCTTTGAGCGTATTGCAACATGTGATGGGAAGCAGATCGTCTACGAAATCCGACGGCGATTTAGTGATTGGATCGAGGTGAAGATGCATGGCTCTTCTCGAAGTCGTAATCGCTCCGAAAGAAGGTCCTGCTGACGGTTTGGTGGTCCACAAGTACTCTCATCCATCAGCTTTCTGAATTCGGGTGGAACGTTTAGAGCCGTGACCTGTGTTCACCAAATCGGCGAAGCGCACAAGAAACTTCAACAGCTGTGCTTCTCACTGGTCAACAGAAAGGGAGCAATCCTTTTCCACGATGGCATGCGGCCAAACGTCGCACTATCATGGCTACAAGGTTTGTGCGGCCTAGACTACTAAACTCTGCCCGGTCCATGACACTCACCAAACCTCATGCTTACTTACACATCTTCGAGCACCACGATAACTCTCAAAAACTAAGCCGAGATAGAGGATTCAACGACTTCATAACTTACAGAATTCCAGCACTTTAAGCAACACTGCTATAAATAAACTCTCCGGTTGGTCTGAAATTTCTAGTAGTATCTATTTCGATCGATGAAGTTTCTTTTGAACTGAGTGTAAAAAAGAACGAAAATACAGCTTGAAATCGAATATTAATTTCCAGACTAAAATGCTGATATTGCTTACCCTTGAATGTGTCGCTTTTGTTGAGAACTGTCGTGTTTTCGAGGTGTTCATCAAGCATTTTTCATTTTTAGTCGTTGTTTTTTGTTCCTATAACCATTTTTGCCTCACAGGATTTTGTTCAAAGTTGTAATTGAACATGATGGAAGAAGTCCCGAACGCTTTGCCTCAGGCTGATGAGATCTCTGTCAATCAGTTTTGTAAGTTGGTTAATAATACTTGGATAATCTGATGGCCGTCCTCACTGATTATGCGGGCCCCATTATAATCTCCAGTCTTCGGAATTATGCCGGTTTAGCCATTGTGGTTTCCTGGAATCCTGAGGTTAGCAAGACCAAAGTCCGCCACATGTCGTCAACACCACGGGCAGTCGCCGGCTTTACGGATCAGAGGGAGATTTGCCACCATACGAGTCGATTGGTGCCAGGACGGTGACGGATCCTGGTATTGGTTTACTCTTAGCTGGGCTTCCTGATGGATACGCCGGACTTTTTCTTAGCTTGGGAGACGAGACCCTGCCAGGGGGATGAATCCCCCCGCTATACATCGCAGTCCGACACCTAAGTAGACCACCCAGCCACGACGAGGCGATAAACCGTTGGGAGGTAGTTAATAGTATTAGACATAAATTATTGTTATTCACAGTTTGTCTGTATTTGTCAGAGAGAATCGTTTTCAGTGGAAAGGATTTATTTACGCTTTGCTATGATTGATTCTAATGAGCAACTCCAGAAGTTCACGGACAACAACCTGCTTCGTCTTATAGAAACAGCTGATTCAACCCCAAAAGCAGTAGAGAAGGTGCTTACATATAAGATTTTACATTTTCAGATTGCTAGCTGAGTTCTAGTTGATATTGTTCTAGGTGCGGGAAATTTTATCCCATTATAATCGTCAAGTGAAAGGCAATTCGGTCATCACTTTTCCTATTAGAGATCTCATATCGATGGTTAAGAACAAAGGTTCTGTTGCTGCTGTAAGTATTATATTCAGTAATTAACCAATAGTTTATTATGTTTTTGGTCTGTCTAGGAACGAATTTCAGCACCTCTCATTCGTGTACCTACGTTTCTCAAGTACTAATTTTGGTGAAGAACAACATTTGGAGCTCTTATCTTACATTTTTGACTTGCTTCCGTTGAAGTTGGCTGACTCGGGTCAATGTGCTGAGTGCGTTGATACCAGTTTTTGTCCTTTTGCCTTGTGTTGCAGTCAGTGTACACACTTCGGTAGTAAAAGTCTCTTTTGTCCTTCACAACGTTCATTTAGGCTGCTTGGATTGAGTGTCCCAGCTTTCATGATCATTGCGCAGAAGGAAAACCATACTTGGCCGGCTCTGTCGTTTTCGACCGATGTGCAGCTTCTTGTACTAAGATTCTTCAAATGCATTATTGTCTTCAGCGTTGATCCACCGTATGCTCAGCCCCTTTTACTCTTTAGGAACAAGTCAGCTCTTAAATCCATTTCAGCGATGTAGTGAATGCAACCTGTGCAGCGCTAAAGCGAGGCGATAAAGTTTTGACTCCGGTGTTAACTTCTGAGGAATATATTATGATTGCTGAAAAAGTTTACAACAGGGTAGACTCAATTGTACAAGTAAGTTGTGGTAATTGGTTGTAAGGGCTTGTAATTTATTCTTTTCCGCGCATTCAGTATTGAATTTTCCACTTTCATGTACATTTCTGTTTTTTCTGCTTAGTCTTAGTATTTGAAGGTGATTAAATGCATGTCATGCTTATTAGAGACGGATAGCACAATGATGGTGATGTCGGTCATAACGAACAAGGTTCTAGTTCAATTCCACGCCGGCGCCAACCAATCCTGTTATCTATGGTCGGGAAATTGGTTCCGGATTTGTCCGAGAAAAATCACTTTCCGCAATCCAGTTGGGAACGCTTCAGCTCGGCTGTCTGAGTACTCCAGAGAGAATCCACTCGATCAGCATTCTACGACATAAAATATGAAATAAAATGAAATAAGAAATTTTCTTATTATTTGTTATAGGAGTGGTTTTTAAAATCCATCTCTTATACAGATAGTTCTTGTGCACTAAAGGAAACTGGAATTGACTGCGTTGGGTGAGTGGTATATCGTGCTCGATTTTCAGGTGAAACTAAGAATTATCAAACTACTTGTATCGGGGTTGTTTGACGACCATATTGTTTTCTCTATCTTGGTTCTGGCTTCGGCACAAAACATTGATGAGTAAGTTTCTTGCTGATCACGGTTACGTTATTAGAAATATCTTTTATAAAGTTAAACTTAAAATTCCAGGGTGACTAGTGCAGCAGAAACAGCCATGAAGAAAGTTGATACGTAGGTGTTTTCCATTTTTTTTAAACTTAATAGTAATGACAACGCATCAGTTCTTCGAAATGTTCTGATCTTATTCCTGCTTCACTTACGTTGCAGTCAAGCCTGTTTGGACAATCGCATCGTTATTGACGAACTCATGGTTGCTTACCTGGGCTCTAATACGCCTTCTAAGTCTCTAATTGGCAGGAGCTGTTCAGTTTCTCCGGCCAACATTATAATGAAACGAAAAATTTTGTTGTATCTTGTGCGTTCCCCTGTAGCAGCTGTGGCTTATATGAACAACCTCAAGGTATATTTGCTTGAAATACTCATTTTATACGTATACATACCACAAATACGTACATATGTATGTATTGCACATATCTGTATACATATATATATATATATGTATATATATGTCTTCATCCGCTCCTAGAACTCGCAACCTCCCATCTCTATAGTATCACCATACGGGTGTGACACTGGCTCTGGGAAAAGTTGTTTGCGATTGGCAAAGGTCGGTGTATAACTGCTGTGAAGACCAGCAGAAATTCTAACGCGACTGTCCCAACATTCCAACGACAACCACTTCCTGCAAAAGTCAAACTTTATTTATGAAAGGGACAATGTTCTCAAATTTTAGCTGCGAAATCACACGTTCTGTGGTGACGGAGGATCAGAGAACCGAGTGAAGGAAATGTGCAGTCGTTAGAGGTACTCAGCAATGCACACTTGGTCGTTGGTGCGATTTCATGCTCACCATCCTTCCATCCCTCGGGGTTCGGCAAAGTGACACCAGGTTTCCTTGGAAGGGTAGTATCACCGACTTAGGACATCCGTAGGTCACCGCATGTGTGAACCAGCGGCTTTCGTTTCGGTCTCTCTTCTCAGCCTGTGATATTTGGGGTAATTACTACCCATTACAGTGCTACTTTTTCGTTTTTAAGACATTGCATTATTCTTTTATGTAGAATTTTCATGGTCGAAACTTAGATGACCTTCAAAATGTTTGCTGTTTTAGCATCTATCGTAAAACTGTTAGGTAAGCTGGTTGTTTTCGTATCATCGATGTCGTTGGCGTTATAATCCAAAAAGCCGGTTAATGATCTAAAAAGTCTTAATTTATGATTGCTTTTGGAATTCCGTTTATTGAATATTATGGCTTCTTTCTGTTCTGTGAAAAAAAATTTTGTGCGGAAGGGGCGATGGATTGGTCCCTTGTAAAAATTTCTGACAGCAGCAGGATCGTTTTGTTGAACACCTTCAATTTGCTGTAGTTGTTTATCTAGCTGTGATGCTTCCTTTAATGTGACATCCATGTTCAACGTTGAGACGAGGTTATACGGAATTAGTAGTTATCATCAGTGATTTTGATTATTGCTCCAAGCTAAGACAGCCTCTCATCCTGTTCATTTCATTCTATTCTTTCAATCCGAAGAGTCACGATGCGAAGTACTTATGGTCTGGTCTGGTCTACGCTGAAGTCGCCAGTGGTGAAATATGGTCCCCTTTCCACATAGAAGTGCATATGGAATTTCTCTAAGGCCATGTGAAACACTTCAACCTCGTTGGTCAACATGTTAGTTATCAAAAGGAATTGGTGCTCTTATAAATGGCTATATAGCTGGCGGCTAGCACAGTGATATTGATGCCTATCATCGGGGTCACGCTGCTGGTTCGATCCCGCTCTGGGCTTACTAATTCTCACCCCTTCGAGGTTGGGAAGTTGGTGGCGGTCTCGTTCGGAAAAAAATCACTATCTGTAATCCAGTGGGAACGCTGTAGCCCTTTATCTCAGGACTCTAGGGAGAGTCGACTCGACCAGCATTTAACGCATTCAAGATGAAAGAAAAAATTCTTAAGCAGTAGCCGAAATCACACGTAAGAAGCTGGAAGACTTTCGTGGATGATGGATACCAGGGAACGAAAGCAGAGGCCACGAATGACGGTGATCTTTTCACACGGCCACGCATATTGCGTGGATCCCGGCACTTATTACATTCCATTCGTTTTGTCGCTTTCATGTTCCATAAATGTCTTTCGCGTGTGGGGTCGGTTTCTGCTTAAGAATTTTTCTTTCCTCAGTGATTTTCATACAATATTGCCAAATGCTGGTGAAGTCGTTTCTCTGTCCCTTCATTTGCGTGATAGCTGTGCTAGGGCGTTTCCAGATCTTCATCACCAGCAGAAGTTCTTTTGTAGATTAGGGAAAACGGTTGGTTCCAGACAAGTCAGTGCCCCATTGGTAGGGACTCTGTAGGGTTGCAATGCTTGGTGGGCGAGAAGAGGGGTTGAAATGAATGAACTTATGAAAAAAGGATAAAGCTCCCGGCTGGCTTATAAAGTAACTCGCGGTGGCTTATCGATGTATTGAGCCAGTGCTGCTATACTCCCAGACAGGTCCGGTAACAGTTTACAGACGCCGGAGGAATGAAAGGTTTGTGAGCCTGGGACGCGGGATTGAAGTCACGTGTATTGTAGGGCACCTCTAACACGTTAAATAAACGAACGCATGCGTCCGTTTACACAATTATATACAGTCAAGTGTGTACAGTATATAGTATATATATGTATCCATTCATATTTGCTACATGGAATGTTAGAAGAACTACCATTGCATTTTTTCTCTTATTTTTTATTGGATCTCTGTGATAGATTTAGATTTGTCTTGATGGGTTGAATCAAGCATCTTTTCCCAAGCTGTTGACAGCAGCCCTCAATTTTCTACTGAACGTGATCGAAAAAATGCCTACTGCTGCCCAGAAGAACTTTTCGACTTTATTATTCGAGCGCGTGCAGAAGGTTCGTGAGGAGGTGAAGGTAAGTAAATCGTATTAAACTTCATCGTTTGCGTTAATATCAATTGGCGTTCTTTTAGGATGGAGTTGCTATTTCTTTGTTATACAGATGTATAGGAATTCTCGGGAAGCGCGAGCCGAGTATCTTAGCTGGTCGAGTGGAAAGTATTGCGTCGGCGTTCAGGTCTATTGCTCAGGTCGGGTCTTAATAAGATCAGTGAGATCTTTGTAATCCTGGTATGTAATGTGTCTTTTTTTTCTCCAACACTTCTTTATATACCTTCGTTGAATGTGGCAAAGAATTACCACTGAATGATCTTGCGCAATGGCTTAGTTTTACTACAAACTTTGTAATCATGTGTTTATGTCACCAAGTTAGGCACTTAACAAATGCAACTGCACATCTATAATGATGAGATATTTTCAAAACTCCGGACCGCAGGTGTCTGCGGTGGGGAACGAATGCGCTATTGTCCTTTCCGGAGAGTAACGTGCATATATAACAACATACCCTGCCGTTAAAATGAGTAGGCAGTAAATAAAAGGTTAAGATTGTGATTATAACTATAATCTCAGCTTAAGTGGTTCAGTGTCGATTTGGGCTCTCCAGATCAATCCCGTTGGCGGGTGATTACTGATGGCAAAAGATCGATAGAACTAGCTGAAAGACAGACGAAACTAAGGACCCGCATAGTGTGGTGGTGAGCACTATACTCCCCGGAAAGGACAATAGCGCGTTCGTTTCTCACCGCAGACACCTGCGGTATGGAATTTTGCAAATAACTCAGCATTGTAGTAGTTATATTTCGCAACATACCCTGCCGTTAAAAAGAATGGGTAGTAAGTAAAGAAAAGTTAAGATTGTGATTACAACTGCACATCCTTTTTTTTATAAAGGTTTTTTTTATCACAGTACTATCAGAACTCCGTTTGCCTGTGTTGAATAACCGACAGTGCTCAAACAATGATAACGGATACAAATTTGTAGCAGATACTACACGAATTCAATTTGCTTTATAGGCTCCGGATGATGTTGGCTATGCAATTGTAGATTGTCTCACTCAATGGTTGGATGGTGTTCGCAAATTAACTGATCATTCTGTCACAAACAATGTGAAGGACCTCATCCAAGAATTTGTAACTCATGTAAGTATTCCTCGTGTGTTAATTTTCTGTTGTATTTGCAACGTCGTCATTCATCACTAGACGGAGCGTTTCTGCTTTAGCATCTCCAGAGTTTCGCCACTTTTTTGTTTTAACTTTAACTTTTGTTAAACTTTAGCGTAACAAAAGAACTAAATAAACTTTAGCATAGTCTTTTTGTTCTGTAAAATAAAAAAGTCCTTGTTCATGAATTTCCAGAAATGTTTTCTCTTCGCCAGTGAAGTTTTGCGTATTATTGTCATCTGCGTTGCATTCAATTTTATTGAGAACATGTTTGCTAGAAACTTCTGTTTAGGACAATGCCAAATGTCGCCTGATTGCTTTGAAATATATGGAATCGCTTCTCACTTCCAGCGAAATGGATCTTAGATGGGTGCTCTTACAAGCATGTGGTGATAGGTGAGAGTGTCGACTATATCTCTTCCTTTCCGTACTTTGCTAATATTTTCAGTCGAGATGAGATACGCAATGAGGCAGTTCGCCTTATTGACGTATCACTAAAAGTCAATGTTTCTGTGGACGTTGCCATTTCTTATTTATGGGATCGTCTGAACATAAGCGTTAGTGATTCTGAAAGAAGAGCAGATTCGTCGTTACAATCTGTTTCGTCATCTGTGCATCAAATGGTACAATGTGCAGACTTCAATTGTAAGTTTACGTCAAAGCGACGCATATGTTTACTGAGTTTCAGTGTTCACGATATTTATGGGCTATATTGGCACGTGCAGTCGGTATTCCCGTTGATATTAAAACCATGGATAGTGGACATGAATTCATTCACATTGCGCCAAAAATCACTCGATTACTCAGCGAATCGTCTGTTGTGTTTCAGGAGCGTGTAACAAAAATTTCCTTGTATGCTCTGAAGGATGCTCATGGTAATTTTTAGGAAAACCTCGACCGTATTTTTTCATTTTTTTTCGTTTATGATTTTATGGATTTCTGTTCAATTCAGACGTGTCTCTTTTCCACATTGCTACCTGTTTTTCGGCCATTCGCCTTCCCATCTCTCCTCCAGTTTCGATAATATCGACGTGTGTCCAACGTTGCCGCACTACATCTCGTTCCGAGCTGGCAAACGTGGCTGCACACCTCGCGATGTCTCTAATGAGCGATAAGGAGAGAAATGAATGGCTCTTATCAACATTGTCCGCATTGGAGAAACCAGTAACTGTCTTTCATATTCAATTTCGTATCAAATGCAGGGGGAGAAGTTTGATATGATAACAAAGTCGGACGAAGATATAAGACTAGGTTTTTATTTGTAAAATCTGAATCCATTCCAAATTTAAATAGGTTGAAGTATTTAAGCAAAAAATAGTTGGTGGTCTATGATACCTTGTTGCTGTTGTTCTATGGAAAGAAACCATTGACAGTGCCTTATTTGTGGTTTTTTTAATGTTATATTTGATACAAAAAATGGATGCAATGCAGCGAAAGACATAAAAATGAATTTTTTTTTTAGAACTTCACTGCTGGAGATTGTTGGCTTGCAAGTGCATCCATTGCCTCCCACGCATCACCTCGTTCAACTACATTGTCAGTAATAAATCAGCTAGTTAATATTGCTGAAGATGAGTATAACAAGACGACCAGTGTGTTGGAGTCAGCTCTTGGTGCATTGGCCAACATATTGCGTGCCATTGTCCTCCATGATAAGGTACCCAATGATGGCAGTTATGATATCTTTTTTAAGGTATTCCAGTACTTAAAATTTCTTTGAGGGATCACAATGTCCTATTGCTAGGTCACGTCTCCATTTCGGTCAATAGTATTGCAGGATTTCGTTTTGCCATCTGACGCTGTGGAACATGTTTTGGTTGTGTGCGAAAAAATTGCGCTATCTCGAAAAAACGCTATTTCGCCTAAAGCTCATGAAGAAGCAGCTCGTACAATAGGATTCGCTGCTACGGTGTTGAACGCAGAACTATTCGACCAGGTTTTTTTTTCCAAGTGTAAGGCTGTGCTATTGTTAAAATATCCACATTTCCTTATATTAGTATTTAGCTGACATCAACACTATATGCCATTGGATGCGGTCCTCCACAACCTGAGTTACAGCTGGTGGTGGGAGCAGCGTTATACGATGTTGCATTGGGGCCATACTCTTCTTCTCGTCGTAATGTGTACCTTTCATCTGAAGACGAAATTCAGGCATGTTGATCCAGTATTGAATGTGCTGTTTTTCTTGTGTTTTGATCGGTGTTCGTCTTTAGCTCATGTCTCTTCCGAGCATTGCACAAGACAGTTGCGAGGCACGGCTAAATCAGATATTTTCAACTATACTTAATGAAAAGCTGTCGTCTATAAATCACCACGAACGACGATCTGCCTTAATTTGGCTCTTTGTTGTTATTCGGAAATCTTTTAGCATCAGTACAAGGTTACTTCATGGATTACTGGAAAAAGTCCAGTCCGCCTTCATTATTGGCTTGGCTGAAAACAGTGGTGTGTTAAATTTTTGCTGGACTGGTGGTCAAATATTCTGAAATTTTTTGCATGGTACTTAGCTAGCGATAGCATCCTGTCTTCACAAATTTTCTTCGCTGTTTAGAATTTAGTTCCAGTTGAGATGAAATAGTTATCCTCAGATTTCGCACAAGATATCGCTTCAAGTGGAATAGGTTTGGTATATGAGATTTCATCGCCTGATCAGCGTAAAGTACTAGCCAGGAATCTTATATCTCAAATTTCGGAGGGAAAACCCTTTGTAGTGTCGAAAGTCGATCAAAATACGGTCCTGGAGCCAAAGATCACTGGTTCTGACAGGTCAGTGCCTCAATTACATCTTTGCAGTGTCGATAAGAATACAATATTAGAGTGGTTTGCCACATTCGTTCATTGAAAACAGCATTGTTTTACAGCCAACAAATGAACGTGTATAAAGAGTTCTGTTCCCTTGCCAGTGATTTAAAGCAACCCGACCTTGTTTATAAATTTTTGAATCTTTGTCGGCACAATTCGGCATGGAGTTCTATAAAGGTATATGCTTCTTTAGAACAGTTCTTTTCTTTCAATTAGCGGTTAGAAATACAATTCCTTTTGGGGCGCTGCGCTTGGACTGGCAGCTGGTTTAGAAGAATCGCACAGTGAACTTGATCCTTTTCTTTGTCAGCTCGTTCCGAAATTATTCAGGTGCTTTTTTTCATCTATTTTTGTGAGTTCCATGAATTTATCATGGATGTTATTGAAGTATGATGCTTATTCTTAGATATCGATACGATCCCGATCAGGGGGTTAAGCAACCAATGTGTGCTGTTTGGTCTGCTCTTATTAAATCGCGTCCGAATCTTGTCAGTGGTTATTTCATTTTGCATCTTTGATTCACTTCGGTGTGTAATCTGAGCAAACAGGCTTTTTTAATTTTGTACTAGGAATCAGATGTTTTACCCTTGTTTTTGCAACTATTGCCCTATAGTCTTTTGCTGGAAGTTATCAAGCCGGAATAATTCTTAACAATATTTGTTTTGAAAGCGCAAAAGAAGTAGATTGCATAAAACTGAACGAAAGGTAAAATAGGCTTTCGTGGAAAGGTGTATACTACATTCTGGGATCCGATGAGGTTTTGTGAATGAAATGTTGGCTTTATTTCTGGTTGGCTTAATTTTTTTATGAATGGCTAAATTGATTAAATTATGTCCGCTTTTTTCCCTTTGTGTTGTTCATTATTTACCACCATTACAAGAAAGCCGATTCTGCTCAAACTTTCACCATTAGATTGTTGTGAAATCGATTAAAGGATAAGTATTGCACAAGAAAAAAAATCACACGTCAAGAATAAATTTTCGAACTTCCATCCACATTGTGCATCTGGGCAGGACACTGTTTGAAATACGTTTACATCTCGACAGGTCTATTGTCAGGAAGCTTGTCGTTGATCTTAGCGTATTTGTACTAGGAATTAACGTTATTATTTAGTTAAGAGGAAGCCTTAAGTACCAGCAGACTCAATCATTGTGCTCACTCAGGTCGAAGAGTTCGTGGATGACATAGCCAGCGAGCTAAAGCAGCAATTATCTTGTCAAGAATGGCGCGTCAGAGAATCGGCGTAATTTTTTGTTTTATCGCTTGTTTTTTTCAGTATGATTTCTTAAAATAAACTCTGTTTTCAGCTGCCTTGCTTTGGCTGATTTTATGCAGAGCAAAGATTCTGCTTATATTCGCTCTATCACACTAGATCTCATTGTAACAGTCTTTCGTCTCCGTGATGATGTGAAGGTGCTCTTTTACTTAATATTGCACGCTGTACACTTTTAATGAGAAAGTTAACTGATCTTCATTACCCGGTTTTGCTGTTTCCGGTGGCTCACGTGCTGTCTACTACACCAACCGAGGTCCTTCCTTTGTCTTTCTCTCAGTCAGTTTTTTTTACTGTAATGATGCTATCAGCAATCACCATCCTTGTGATGGCATTTGGCATTATACTGTGCTATGAAAAGACAATCGGCAGTTAATAAAAGTTAATACATTGTGATTTCGACTGCAGGTTCGGCCTAACATAGTTCAATGCCTATTTGTACTCCCCAGGTCATTCCCATTGGCCAGTTATTGCAGATAGCACGGTTAGGGTAAAAACAGGCAGAAGAGGACAGCAAGGGTCTCGGTTGGTTCATTGGATAGGCAGTCCCTAGAAAGGGTAAACGCGGCTTTGAAAACTGACTGAAGTTGAGTTTTATTCAAATCTCAGCATCTTTGTGGTTATATTTCACATTATACCTCGCCGTGAAGAAAAAATTGACCGTCAGTAAAAGTTGAAACATTGTTCTTCATCAATGTTTTTTAGGGTTCTGTGCGCTTGGCAGCTGATCGCGCAATTTCCAGTCTTGGAAAACTAGTAATACGCCTTTCATCGCATTCCGCAGAAGGTCATGATCCGAGTGCGTTTGTAGGCTCTTTGCTGCTTGTCCTCATTCGTGATGGAATCCACTCTAAGGTCAATAGGCAGTTCAGGTATTATTTGGTATACTAATTGAAATTACATTATATTGTTTGGAAACAAAAATACGTGTTATTTCTTATATTTCGAAATTTTATAGCGTGTCTCTTTTACTGGATTTAACGAAAACGGTGAAGTCCAATATTCAACCGTTTCTTGGCGAACTTATTCCAGCGCTTCTTGATACAATAAGCGATACGGAGCCAGAAGTTCTCAATTATGTCGCTGCTCGTTCGAGTCTTGCTGAGCTAGAAGTGGTAGGTGCTGAATCATTTCAGAACCAGTATGTCATTTTTCGTAGCAGTGAGGAGCTTCGTGTTTTCAAAAAGCACCTACATCTGCAAGTTTTCGGTAGCCAATCCAATAACCAATCCAATGATCTGGTGCATCAAGGGTTTAGTTTCAGTATTTCTATTGGCTCGAGATCTTTACAGTTAGATGACGCACGAGCCCAGATCGCGCGCACATCGCCAATGATGAATGCCGTTCATGACTTAATTCCCCAGGTGGGACGAAATATATTGACTCATCTAGCGTGTCCTAATTATTGAAAAGCTTTCTAAAAGCTTTTTTTGAACATCATTTTTCAGATAGACGGCTCTATTCTTCTGGTTTTACAACCCCGACTATGTGAACAACTTCGTTCGAGTGTAGGATCAAGTACTAGGTCTTCGTGCGCACAGTTCCTCGTACTTCTCGCACTCAGGCAGCCCCAACTGCTAAGAGATTATCCAGCGCAGTGTGGTAAAGTAACAAAAGCAGTTGAAAAGTACCGTATGTTTTTGTGTTACTTCGTTATAGACAAGATCTTCACTGCGCTAATGTCTGGTATTCATGATCGAAATCCTTCGTTACGCAAAAGTTTTGCAAGTGCCATTTCTTATATGGCAAAATACGCTACGTCATCTTCTTTGGAGAGGCTAATGAGCGCTGTATTGAAGAATTTAATGGGAGAAGACGGTAATATTTGGTTACTTTACTGCACAGAAGTCTTTGCATTTTCTTATGAAGAGTTGAGCGGAATTTTTTAAAGAGTCCATGAAGCAGTCAGCAAAACAGATATTGAAGAGTTTGTCTACGAACAGCGCGGAGCTTCTACAAAATTACTCAAAGCTAATTATACCGTATGTATTCCTGGAAACGTGTCAACCTGGTGACTTATATATATTATGCTATTCAGATTTTACATTTTATTTAATTTCTACTCACTGCAGTGACTCGTGGCGATGAAACTTCCAGAAAGAGAAATGAAGAATGGTGCGAGCTGTGGAGCGAAATTGTACCCAGTATGTCCGACATATGTTAATTGTAAATGATTCTTGAATAACTCGAACTGAGATACTGAGTGTTTTGCATTTCTCCATGCATTTCTGGTCTAGTTTTTTACATGCCTTGTTTTTCACGGATTTCCGGAAGTAGTCGCGCTTTTCAACTGTCAACAAATACAACGTTGCTGTGATATTTGCAAAACTCTGGACCACAGATGTCTATGGTGGGGAACGAACGCGCTATTGTCCTTTCGGGGAGTAACGCGTTCACCACCACACCATGTGGGTCCTTCGTTTCGCCTGTCTCTCAGCTATTTCTATCGATCTTTGCCACAGCAATCACCCGTCAGCGGGATTGATCTGGGGCGCCCAAATCGGCATTGAACCCACTCAAGCTGCGGCTGTAGTTGAAATCACAGTGTTATGTCTTTTTATTTTCTGCCTACTATAATTTCGCGGCAGGGTAAAAAAGACATAACATTGTGATGTCAACAAATAGGTTTTTTACTTTTTATTCCTTTACACATCCTATATCTTTTTCTTCGTGGAAATTATTAATTGAAGTGAAAGTCAAAATTCTCCAAGAAGATACTTCTCTTTTCACTCTGAAAAAATGAACTTCAAATTTTCTGGAATTGAGGAAAAATATTTTTTATTGTCTTTTTGTCTCGGAGGCCAATATTTCGGATGTCGAAGCGAGTAAGGATTTCGTATAGCAGGATGTAATACTCTTCCCCCAACTTACAACAGCGATCTGTGCGGCTTTCGCGCGTGCTTTAAAAATTGAAAAAGAACGAAAAATTTTCACCTATGCTCCCAAGATATTGATTATTCAGAAAAATATATCTTGCTTCAGTTTTTTTGTAAATTCAACTTTCAAAGAAGTTTTTTATTGGGAATATCGTCCTAGAGAATTTATATCCTCAGAGCGATAGCACAAAACGTGTTCTGTGAGTGCGGAAAGTGCTCACATCATCTGTTACTCTGGTTACCAAAAGTTTATCAATTGTCAAAAAACTAGCTTCGTAACGAATGTGTTAAGGTACTGAGGCGGCTGTTCGGCTGTACTATGCGGAGATAATCGCCTTTATTGTGGACACCTTGCAAAACAACGACGTGTGGTCCGTGCGTGTGAAGGCGGCTCGAATGTTAACACAAACTGTTGAAAATTTACAAGATAGATTGAAAGGCAGTGATGCAGGTAAAATCTTCAAGGTTTATTGCGTTGTATATTCTGTTTGTATGTTCTAATATTCTCTAACATATAGAACCTTTTGCAGCCACCCTGCTTTCCAACCTAATACCTATGATGCCCGGTCGTATCTGGACCGGTAAAGAACATCTAATATCAGCCATATCAGTGGTTATATCCTATGCTGGACAGTTCCTTCGTCAACATTGGACCGAAACAAATTTGGAGGAGGTTGGAATTTATGAAGGCGTTGCACCAGATACTTTATGTGTAGTATTTCACAGTGTTTTCTGATAATCCCAACGGTTTACCGCCTCATCGTGGCTGGGAGGTGTTCATGGGTATCGGGCTGCGATGCACAGCGGGCCATTCATCCCCTGGCAGGGTCTCCGAGGCTGAGAAGAAGTCCGACGTTTTCATCAGGAAACCTAGCTAACGAGTAAACTAATACCAGGATGCACCACCGTCCTTGTATTAAAGTCGCATAGCGGCAAATGTCCCTCTGATCCACAGGGGCTGTGAGTGCCTATGGTAGTGACGACCTGGAGCAGACTTTGGCCAGACTGACCTCAGAATTCCAAGGGACCACAGTGGCTTAACCGGCAGATCTCCGAAAAATGAAGATTGTGCTGAGGCCCGCACAAACAGTGAGGACGGTTCATTCGAGTGTCAGGAGTGTCAAGAGTGTCAAGTGTCAAGTAAGTTTACTAATAATAAGGATTCTACTTTAATTTCCTTCTGCATTGCAGTTTTTATTACCTATTGACGTGTTCTATCTTTGGAAGCATTAATCGTAGAGAAGTACTACTTTAGCTATTTCTTTCGTTAACAAAAGAAGCATCAAAGGGGAAAAAGCAGTATGCTGCTGCTGGTCTGTTAGCATGTGCTGTTTTTGCTCGAAGTCTATCGTATTCTAAAGCTGCTGACTGGTTGTTCGAGAAAGTTGACGAAAATATGCGAAAGGTGACCAGGTATAGGTAGTATTGACATGTCACATTTTTTTTACTTTCCGTTTTCGGTTTGTTCACTGACTTTTCGGGATAGTTTGAATAATATCAAGAAGATTAAACTTGCATTTTTAGGTTTTTCTAAATTGTTCGTGGTTTTTTTATATCGAATGTTTCTTTCCTATATATTTTCTTTCTGGGATACCGCACTTTCGTCTCAAAAGAGCTGCTTTATCAGAATTTTGCTTTAGTGATCAAAGTGATCAATCTGAGGATGAGGAGATTGATTCCTTCACTAAAGATGCCACATTATCTGAATTCATTTGTCAGAACATGATAGCTATCGCTAAAGCAGCTGGCGCCTATTCAGGAGGTGACAGCAGTTAGATTTGAATCCATATAGTATGCCTTATTTAATGCTTATGTTTAGGCCAGAGAGCCCTTTCTGCGATTGATTCATTCTGTTCGTATTTGAAATCTACAGAGCTTCCATGGAAAGCAAAACAAGCCTTGGTGTCAGCACTTTCGGATCTAATCGACAGGTATATTACTATAATTCAGCGAGACATTTGAAGCGTTACTAATCTAGTTTGATGTCTTTTTTCTTCAAAATTCACTGTTGAGAAGTAGGGGGTTTAAATAGTGCCGGTTATTTGGAGAATCTCCTTCGATGTTGTTCTCTTAAGCTGGCAACTGGATCCAGTTTTGGAAACGACTAAATTGGTTGACGCCCTTTTGACTATGGCTGAACAAATGATTGTGCAACAGAGGAAATCTTTGGCAACTCAAAACCTTGGAGTAGGTTTTTTTCTGCAATTCCAGTCTTGTATAACGGCCTTGGTTTGGAAAGATGTGTGGGTTTGAGTTGGAATAAATACTGTTTCAGGTAGTATCAAAACTTGCAAGTCGTGGAGATATTTATGCCATAAAATGGAGTGAAATCAAAGCGAAGTGGGAAATTAACGAATTTATACGAGAAATTGGATTGTTTGAAGATCTAGTCGCTCTTAATATGAATGTTAATAATAGTTCGTAGGATTTTTTGACGCTCAAATTATCTACTGGCTCATCTGAGTACTGTGGAAGTTGTAGTATGTAAGTGTATAAAAATATTTCTATCGATTTTTCCCTTATTCCTTGTGTCCATTCACTGCATATTATGCAAGAATAAGCAACTTCAGGAGACATCCTCCTCTGGTGTTTGCTTGACAGCAATTTTCAGAAAGTCTTCAAATAGCGATCTTAAGGTATAAGATGCTTAGGTTATACCAACAAGTATGTTTGGCAATGGAATGCATGCTCGCAGAATGGCACACAAATCATCGGCGGCGTCAGATGAAGTGTTACAATCGCTTAAGCATAAACGGCTTGTTCTTGCCAAAGTTCGGAACTATTTTCTTTATGGGTTGACTTTTGTTCCAGTAAACATTGTGTGTAATAGGTTGCGTCTTCTATAAGCACTAGAAAAGGCTGTGTACGTGCGCCACACTCCTTGGTTAGACACTTTTCAAGTAGTTGCACGAAAGGTTGGCAATTCTCAAACGTTTTCCTTTGAAGCGTCACTTCGATTTTTCCAACTTTTTTCAAAGGAGGTGAAGCGAGCAGAACGCATCGTAGTGGTGAAGACGGTGATTTCTTCGCTAACGATGAAGAGGATCATGATGCTGATCAGGACTCCTTGCTCAGTGATGAGGAGTACGGAACCCGAAAAAAGAGGTCTCTTTATTTCCATATTTTGTTTTGCTTTTGTAGAACGGCCGAAAGGTGTTGGTGTTCCGCAATATTATGTTTTTGTTTTTTCATATAGTTATTTGATGTTCATTGATTTTGCTACTCAACAACACGTTAACGGAAGTTCGTTATAAGCTGTTCGATATGGTTTCCCCACATCTTTCTTGTAGGCTGGAAAGCTTGTGTTTCCATGCACTCCATGATTTCCTACAGATTATCATTTTTTGCAATCTTTATGGGTTCTTTTTATTTGTAGATGATCCAGTTTAAAGATGTTTCCGTGCTTTAGTTGCCTTTTCAAGACTGCCTACATGGTAACGTAGAAGAAGTTTGATTTAGAACGTTTACAGGTCTAGTTTTTGACGAAGTATGCAGTAAAATCTGAGTTCATATATGCGATCACCGTTTTCATAAGCGGCCATTTTGTTGAAATGTTCGCTTAGTGCTCTAAGGTATCACAAGGAAAAATACTTTCTTGATAATCTCATTTTAATAGGACTGGGGTGTTGATCTTAACTTGTATACCGATGTTAACCAAGGGGTTTCCTTCTTTACAGTGACTACTCCGAATGCGAACACTCTTTTACCGCAACTTTGTAAATCACACGCGACGATTGCGTGGAAGTCACGGCAGGCCGTATTACTGGCTGTTTGCTTTGTTGTTTTGCCATGTAGTTTTTCATTTATTTGATAAGTCATCCAGCATAGACGAGTAGGCTGGCCTAAGACTAAGAAAAGCTGTTCTGTAGACCTAATAATTTAAGCAGATATTTTCGGGCGAGTGCTGGAGTGCTGGTAGTTCAAATGTTAGAAGAAGGTTTCTGCCATGCGGTTGAAACTTAGATTTCGTTTTTTTTCTAAATTTTTGCGTCCCTCTCCAAGCTCTGCAAAAGATCAAGTCCGTCAACTGTCACAAAGATAGGTGTTATATTCATGCCGGCTCATTAAGAACATGGAAATTTATAGACCACTGATTTGATTAGTTGGTAATAAATGTGGAATCATTTCATGTTTTTTTCAGGAGCAAAATTAGAAGTACTAGAACAGTTTCCACTCCATCGCGTATTGCCGCACTAGGTCTTGGACAATCCCGCACTCCAGAGTGCGTGAATTTTAATTTTTACTCTTCTATCAAGTATTACTTGTTGCGACGCCACGTTCCACATGGTTTTTATCAGGAGAAAAGCAAGGACATTATCTGAGTCAAGTGAGGAGGAATGGCTATGCAAGCCACGCTTGAATGGCAAAGCAAAGGTTTTCCTTTCGGTGATCTTTGGTATTCCATTAACTGTGTAATCCACTATGTTTTAGACAATGGAAAGTGCTTTTGTTGATACGCCTGTTAAGAAACGCAGTCGTAAAGCGGTGATACTTTCGGATGACAGCGAGGATGAAAATGAAGATCATCCGAGTGTAGGTGCACAGTTTGTCTCTCTGATTCATGGTTCCATGCATTAGCTAATGTTTGTTTCTTTCTGCTCAACAAATGTGGTTCTAGTCAGTGGCAGCACTTACAAAGGCTGCCTGCGAAGGTACAAAGCGTGACCGTAAAAGGAAAATCTTTTCTGGTAACAAAGGTTGTGTCGATGGCGATGAAAAAGGCTCAGAATCTGGTGATGAATCTGATGCTTCAGATGAAAGTGATGTGAGTGAATTTCTTCAACGCAACTTCTTGTG